TGTGAAATCCCAGATATCTTTTGTAAATTAGAAGATAACATTACTAGTAAGTCACATTTGGCAAGTGTTTTGGTTTTCAGAGTAATGACCAGGACATACAAAATAGTCATTAAGGAAGTGAGCTTTAGAGTTAGGAAAAATATCCCAACCTTGGTGATCCACTTTCTGTCATCTACACAATGGGAAGAGTCATATTCTGTCACCTTATGTTTATTTTGTTACTCAATTAGTATAAAATTACTTGAAAATCATAGTGCTAAATATTAGACAATTAGAATAAGCAATTGTGAACCATGCATAAAAAGAGAAATGGCTTTGGAGAAATGTTATTTCCAGGACGAATAGACAGGTTGTCAGTCTGGTAGAAGAATGGCTCTCAGATTTTATGATTCATTTATTCATTCATTTATTAAAAAATGATGGAAGAAATCTGAGAAATGACATGACCAGGTTGGCTATATGCCTATTTTTTTTTAATTCCCTTCAAACACTTCTGACCTCAAAAAAAAAAAGCCTCCAATAGAATTGTAATTCTGACTTATAACCATTTGTAGTCTGGATGTGCTTTGAATTTTGCATTTAAAAAGACAGATTTTCTGATTTTCAACCAATCCCTCTCCTTAGCTTGCTATTTCCAAACATACCTCCCTGCTTAAGAGCAAATAGCAAGTGAGACAGAATTGTTGATAGCTGCTGAAGTCTCCTCCTCAGAGAAGCACTGGTTTCATTCAAATGGGGTGAAATGCATGTCTGGGAAGGGGTGAGATTTTAAGGCTTGCACAGTGTGTGGAAGCATCATTTCTTGAGTCCCTCCTTCTTCTGTTATTATTGGCTGGGACTTTGTATGACACTGTCGTTTTCCCATCTCTACTAGTTAAAACACCATATTGTCACCTTCTTCCTTTTGTCCTTTCTTTTCTCTGATAAGGACTTTCAGAAGTTTGAGAAGATAAATGGAGTAAACGCATATTATATTTATATAATAATATTTTTGGCTAACGATGTATACTAGGCATAGAAATAATATAATTTTTCTGTGTGGTTTATATGCACTTTTCTAAGCTCTGAAGTCTTCTCTAAAAATTTAGTCCGTGGGATGCAAATTCAAAACTCATCATAGGCCAAACTGATGATAAAAACAATGGGATCATGTTGTAGGGAGTGGTGAGGGTTGTGTCACTGGGGAGAGCTACACATAAGGCCAACACTTTACAATTCCAAGGCACCCCCATTCACGTGATATTGTATGTGAATGGGGCCCCCTAGTGTGCAGGAGTGTAGAACCCCTGTGCACGCCCTGTCCAGTCATTCATTCAGAATATCCTCATTGAGCTTACTACGTGCCAAGCATGGTTCTAAGTGCTGGGGAGACAGCAGTGAACACAGCAGACAAGAATCTCTGGTCTCACAAAACCTAAAAGCATTCTCCTGCAATTATTTTTATAAAAAGGCAAAAAGCATCCTGCCAACCAAACAAAATGCATCTGTATGCAGAATTTAGCCCATGGATCCCCCAATTAATGACCCCTGTTCTAGGCTTTTAAATTACTTCTGTGATCTTGCAGGTTTTAGCCACAGGGACAAAATACAGTACTGACCACAGGTTTGCACCCACTGCTTGGCTCATGCTTAATGAGAGCTCTGTGTATGTAGAAAACTTGGAGCCAATTAATTTTCAATTAAAATTCTATTCCCCGCCCCAGTGTCTGTACCTGCAACTCCTTCTTCCAAGAAAACATAATTCCTAGAGGTGATCTGTTAAGTAAAAGAGGAAGAAAAACTAGAATGAGGTGGGGGTCATGTCATTCTGCCAAAGCATCTTCTGAAATACCTGGGAGAGGCAAGCTATTGAGCAATAGTCAATGTGGCACCTTAAGCCAATTCAAAGTCTGCTTCTAACCATCTATAAATTTAATTACATTTTTTTCAAGCAAAAAGGAAGATTCCCTGAAGTGTCAGGTCTCTTAGGGGTTATGCTAACAGAAGCAGGGGAAATCCCGAATTTAGAGAGTTCTCTTATAAATCATTTATTTCTCAGCCTTATGACATCTTAATGCCATTTAACTGAATGTTTTAATTTTATTTGCATAGAGGCAAAATGGAGCTCAAAGAAGATCTGGTTACCTGGCTCCCATATCTGGAGGATTTTTTGTTGTTGTTTAATGCATTGGAAGCTTTGGTAAAACTGAAGACTTGTATTAGGTTTCTGCAAGAAGATTTAGAGAAATGCTGTGATAGTAGTCCAATAGTTTAAAAGTTTTCCACCTCACAACTCATTTTTCATTTTCTTTTTTTTTTTTTTTTTTGTCTTTGTCTTTTTCTGTGTCCTGCAATGGATCGCAACCCTCAGTGTTGCCCCCGTACCGGACCGGGGACCGGCAACGGGATTGCAACCCTCGGTGTTGCCCCCGCGCCTCGCTCAGCCAGTGAGCGGAACCGGTCTGTATGTGGGATCTGAACCCTCGGGCGGGAGCGTCGCCGCGCTTCCCAAGCGGCGCACTTATCCAGTGCGCCACCGGCCCGACCCCTCATTTTTCATTTTCTTAAATAAGATCATGACTCCAAAATATTTAAAGGACCTAGGTCACAAATCTGATGAAGAGACAGAGTCATGGTATAAAGGTATAAATATTTACATCTTCCAAGAAATAGAGCCAAGACCACCTGTGATTACTCATCCTCTTTTCTACCTGCCTTCCAGGATCCTTTCTTTCCAAAACCTCTCATAAATTAATAATAATGATAATCAAAGGAGAGAGTGTTACCATATCAATCTACACATTATATTAAATTACTTTTCCCAAAGTTTGGAAGCATTTCCTGAAAGCTGTCAAAGGTATTAATTTTCTCTCTCTCTCTTTAAATCACAAAGCAAAATTTCACTGCCTCTCCCCCACCCCTTCTAAAAAAAAAAAAAGTTGTCGAGTTTTGCTTTTCTATTCACTGCAATCCTGGCCAAAGTAAAGCCCTCTTTCTCAATGACGTCAAGATCTTTACCAAGATTAGGCTTTCATTTCTCTATTGCAGCAATTAGCCAGGGAATGTATAAAAGGCTTCAGGGAGACTCACTGGGCTGCAGAAGAGGCACTTTGCACCACAGACAGATAGCAGGAAGGCGAAGCCAGAGGGAAGGCGGAAAGAGAGGAGCCAGTCGCTCCTGCAGAAGGGTGAGAGTGAGACAGGCTGGGACGAGGAGCAGCACAGAAAGTGTGTGTAAAACGGAGTAAAGAAAGAAAAAAAAAAAAAAAAAAAGACCCATAAAGCACATTTTTAAAACTCTGGCAATTCAAGAAAGAAACAGGCTACGTTTAAAGAACATAGAGACAATGAAAAACTGAAGAAACATTTTCAGTCTCTGCCACAGTCTCGTAGGTGCTGGGAAATGAAAGTACAACTGCCTGTCTTTTACGGACTCTGACAGGGGTAACTGGATTAGGGACGGGTGCGCCAGTTTCTCTCTTTCTTTTTTTTCAAAAAAACATCTAAATCCTGCAAAAAAAAAAAAAAAAAAAAAAAAAAAAAAAAAAAAAAAAAAAAAAAAAAAAAAATTACCATTAATGTTTAAAGCAGTTATAAGCACCATAAGGACCCAAAGTCTTTTAAAACCTTTTAAATGTTTTGCATACTTCATATTAGTCACTATTACAATCAAGACAAATATCAGAAAGAATGATGAGCAAACAAAATGTTAAAAATAAGATGTCTAGAAAAATAATAATTATTATTATAGTACTTAATTTATGGAATTAAAATACAGTAGTCCCCCCACCCCCTTACCCGTGGGGGATACATACCAAGACTCCAATGGATGCCTGAATATACGTATAGTACCAAACCCTATATATACTATGTTTTTTCCTGTATACACATCCCTATGATAAAGTTTTTTTCATAAATTAGGCACAGTAAGAGATTTACAATATCCAATAATAAAATAAAACAATTATAACAATGTATTGTAATAAAAGTTATGTGAATGTGGTCTCTCACTCTCAAAATATTTCACTATACTGCACTCACCCACTTCTTGTGATGATGTGAGATGATACAATCCCTTCATGATGAGATGAAGTGAGATGAATGATGTATGCATTGTGACGTAGTGTTAGGCTGCTGTTGACCTTCTCATGATAAGCTAAAGGGAGGATCATCTGCTTTGGGTGATCCTGGATCATTGAGTCATGACAATGTTGGTGGTTGGATGTCAGGAGCAGACCACATCTATGACTAACAAGTGAGAAGTGTGTACACTGTGGATATTTTGGACAAAGGGATGATTCACACCCCAGGTGGGACAAAGCAGAATGGTGTTAGATTTTATCATGCTATTCAGACTGGCATGCAATTTAAAACTTATGTGGTGCCCCATTTAAATGTATAAATTGTTCACTTCTGGAATATTCCATTTAATATTTTCAAACCATGGTTATCTGAAACCTCAGATAAGAGGGAACTACTGTAGGGGCCGGCCCGGTGGCGCACTGGATAAGTGCGCCACTTGGGAAGCGTGGCGGGGCTCCCGCCCGAGGGTTCGGATCCCACATACAGACCGGTTCCCGCTCACTGGCTGAGCGAGGCGCGGGAGCAACACCGAGGGTTGCAATCCCGTTGCCGGTCCCCGGTCCGGTACGGGGGCAACACTGAGGGTTGCGATCCATTGCCGGACACGGAAAAAGACAAAAGACATTTTAAAAAAAAAAAAAAAAAAAAAAAAAAAAAAAAAAAAAAAAAAAAAAAAAAAAAAAGAAGGCAGCAGCTAGGAATTGAATGAATGGATGGGCACGCTCCAACTGCTGGGCTGGAGAGACTGGACTTGGTCTAGCTGTTTCTGCTGCTTTGAGAGAGGAGACAACTTGGGCTTCCTTTTAATTTAGTTTTTCTCCTTCTCCCCCCACCCCCCGACCTTTCCCTCTTACCTCCCCCACCTCCTCTATCACCACCCCCCCTTTTAAATAAGAGGGCGAAGGGGAACCAGAGCGCACAAGGGCACTGAGACTCGGGAGGCAGAGAAGATGGGTATCCTCAGCGTAGACTTGCTGATCACACTGCAAATTCTGCCAGTTTTTTTCTCCAACTGCCTCTTCCTGGCGCTCTATGACTCGGTCATTCTGCTCAAGCACGTGGTGCTGCTGCTGAGCCGCTCCAAGTCCACTCGCGGGGAGTGGAGGCGCATGCTGACCTCAGAGGGACTGCGCTGCGTCTGGAAGAGCTTCCTCCTGGACGCCTACAAACAGGTGAGCCGCGCCACAGGGCTTCTCCTTAGGCCAGGGGGGTGAGGGCTCCGGCGCTGGGGACTGGAGCGTTGGGTGGCAGCTGTGCAGCCCTGTTTGTGGGTGTGCCTAGTGGTGATGCTCAAGTGAGCCTCTGCATTGACTTCTGACACCTGTCGCACAGGTTAGTTTTGGTGGTGACAGGTATGAAGCCATCGTGACTCTGTGTAAGCTAATGAGAAGTCTGTCTAATGAGGGTTATTCATATCTTGCTGTGATGCTGGAAAAGAGGGTGTTTCTGCCCATAGAATAACTTTGGGAAAAGTCAGAAAATGTTGGGGGAGGGGGGACTGCTATGTTTATTCTGCTCTTGTCATAAACTGGAATTTTCATGTTTTGCTTGATGGGAGGCTATGTGAGGTGCACTAGGAAAGACAGTTCAAGGGAGTGGGCACTGAAAAGCAAGAAAAGAGAAAATGTCACTCACTCTCAGAGAGTTGATAAGACTTAAGGAAAAGGTCACAGCAAGTGTGATTGGGCATCATAGCCTCTTAGTTTCTGGTAGAGATAGGAGTTGATGAAAGCAAGTCGGTGCACAGCCTCCCCTACATTGATTCAGATTTGAACCCTTTGGAATGGTTATCAGGAACCGAGTTCCGAGTTACTAGATATATCAATTTACAAAAGAAAGATCTGAGAACCGGCTGTCAGAAATCCAGACTTTGGAAGGGAAATATCATTTACTTTGTTTCTGAAAAGTAAAATAAGTTGTCTTAGAAAGAGCTGATAGGTCTATGGTTCATGACCAAAGCTGTTATAACACGTGTCATGAACACTGGAGCAGTGGCCTCTCCAACCTGCAGAAATTGTGTCTTGGGGGCTGCTTTCTCAAAACCAGAGTTGATGGTCTTTTTTTCTAAGTGAAAAATGCTGACCTCTTAGCCTTTTTGCTGCTTAGACATGTTGCTGGAGCATTTTCAACTAAGATCTTAAGGGGCAAAGACAAACAGTTTGGGCCTGATGCTTTGCCAATGTGCCCCCACCCCTTATGTCCTATGGCTCCTGAAGACACCTCCCTTCCCCCGGATTTTGGAAGAATGAACTCTTTGGCAACAATTGTTATCAAAGCAGACAATCTTGGCTTTCCCTAACAGTATTGGGTGATCTTGCCCAAGATGCCAGGGAAAGGAGTTTGAGAGGAACACAGATACCAGGTGTTTAGTGAAGTGGTACACTACAAGCAGGCAGCACCTCAGCAACTGAGGCTGAATAGTCAGAATAATAGAGGGGGAAGGGAATGAGTCCTCCATAAACACTGAAAAATAAAGCTGTGCTCCAGGAAAAGAAAAGAAGTAAGTAAGAATCCAGGGCAGAGTTGTTCCACTGAAAATCAGACGTTCAGGAAGAAAATATTTACTGTGAGCTAGGGAAGTTTTACTACAGTACATTTCTTTGTTATTGAAAATAACCTAAAAAAAAAAATGTGAAAATAACCTGCAGAAGGTTTGCATTTATTGTCCTAAAGACATGTGAATATCGAGGGCTCTTATTAGTAAGTGGAAATTACTTTATGAAAATATGAATCAATTCTCAAAGTTCTAATAGTAAAAACTCATGTATGTGTGGCAATTGGGAGATGAGATTCCCGTAGTGTGTGTGGGAATGTGTGTATGTGGGCAAGGAGATATTGAAATGGTCATTTCGGTTTCACAAATGTATGCATTGAATGTGAACTTTTTATGTTTTGTTTTGGGAGTATGAAATTTGGAGGAGGATGGAGGAATACATAAATATGTTGGACAAATTAATTAGGAAGGTCCCTCACCTGCATCTGTATTTTGTATGTCTTAGCAGATAACATGGAAATGTCAGTGGTTTGGTCTCAGTTAAACTCTTACTTTTTGAAAGACAATTGACTTTTGCCTAAAAAAGAAAAAAATCACTTTTTGGGAGAATTTTACTTATGTGCATATATATCATATAAAAGTCATCTCTTGCATAAATGATGGGGCCTATGATGTTACCCACAGATATTAAGTGAAGTTGTTTCTCCTATTAACCAGCTTGTTGAGATAAACTGGAAAAGTAAACAAATGCCTCTTTAATAAACCTTATTACTTATTTATTTTTTCACTAATGTATAGTGCTCCATTCTGTTGCAATATTTTGCTATTCATATTCTGGGAAATTAGGGATGGTGATTTGTTTTTTCTCTTTGCATGTAGTTTGTGTATTCCTCTTCCACATTTCTTTGTCTGTGCCTACTGATTAGATTAGTGACTAGGTCATAACTGATGTTATTATGTTTGCTTTTAATGATTTATGTGCTAGCTACTATGAGCAGAAGCAACCCGAGGACCCATATACCCAAAGACAAGACTGGACTGGGTGCATCATGAAGGCAAACACTACAAACACAGCTTGAACTGAATTCTGGTCTCTTTCTATTTTCAAGTATGGCAAGGGTGGTGGTGACCGTGGTGATATTTGAGGGTCACTCAGAACCTCTCACACAGGTTGAATCACTTCCCTGAGTGCTGCTGTCATCTGTGCCACTGTTTTTAGGTATAGCCATTTCTAGAGACACTGGAAGAGGTTCTGTTTCGGATGCATCACAGTGTTGCATAAGGCTGACTTGCAGTATTCAGAGGCTACCACCCCCAGAAGCAAAGTTTTCCAGATGAGGGGTGTGTGCACATGTGATACAATTAGACATGCCATTTATTATTTTTAATTCTCCTTGTCATTGAGTGTCAGATACTTGGGAAGATACTTAGAGAAAGCAGAGTAAAAGTATTAACTCTGTGTTTTGCCCCATAAGAGACAACACAGAAATAAAATAAATAAAATAAAAAACTTCTTCATTAAAATATTGAAAGGGATTTAAAATTAACTTTATAGAGAAGCTTTTGAAGATCATGTGGGCTTGGTAAGAGAGGGGTTCCTTGTACAATTCGGATTGAAAATAAAGCCTATAGAGCCTTGTGAGCGATTCTTAGGTGAATAACAGATATTTGTTATTTAAGTTTCTTTAGTCACTGTCATTGTATCTGAACACTGTATCCTTGTGCTGCTGCTCAAAGACTCAGAAAATGCAACCAATAAGCAAATTGCCCTGTCTGGGAGCCTGGCTCTTACCTAAATGAAGTGTAAAAGTAAACACACAGTATAGATGCTGACAAGCAGTTTAGCTTCTGCACAGTTACTATTGCAGTGACACAGACAACATATTCATTTGGACATATAATTTTGGTTTTGAAAAGGTCTCTTTAACATTCTTCTCCTCCTCTTCATTCACCTCAAGCCTTTTGATACTGGTTTCTACAATGGAAAATGGCTCTTTTAAGAGAGGAACAGTCCCAAAAGAACACAAAGAAGGCCACAGCCAGCGCTTGTCTCTCACTTGGATAAAACATGGGGAAATGATAGGGCTTTGAGCTACTTTTTCAAGGTACAAATCAAAAAAGAGAATAGTCAAAAGGAAACTGAGTTCAGAAGAAGGAGTAGGTAGCCTATTCTTCAACTCTGATTTATTTGGCCAATCTGAATATAAATGGTTAAATCTCTGCTTAATGATTGTTTGGCCATGTTTCTAAGGACGTTGATGTAGCCTGGTCATTGTGTCAAAGAATTTGAAACTTCCTGATAGTAAAGCCATTTCCAGGGTTTTGGAAAGAAAGAAGTACGTGTAAAAATTCTTCTGCCATATACCCATCCCTATTTTTTGGCCTTCGCTTTACTTTCTATCAAGAGATTAGGTGACATTTTGTCTGGAAGACTTTCTAAGGCTGTGGAAAAGAAAAAAACAAAAACAAAAAACCCAAAACAAGGTTAGTAGTATATGCTCTATTTCCAGCTTCTACTTGATGAATGGATCTTTTTTCCCCTCGCTCTGCATTTCACAGTCCACACACTAATGCAGCATTATCCTCTCTCCCATGCACTGAACACTGTAAGTAAAAGGAATTCCATCATCAAGGGAATCATATTTTTATATATGCTATATATTTTACTCATGTTCATGTTTATAAATATGTCTGTTGCATTTGAACTTGGCACAGAGATGGTCCCTGTTGGAAAAATGCAAATCCTTTATTTACCTCCTTTGTTAGTGTTATGTTGATATTGATTGCAAAAACATGAGAAAGGACAATTGCCATAGTGCAGATGAGAGATAAAAGTCAGCGATGACGAGGTCACATTTTACGTATGTCCTTTCCAATCCTTGCAAAATAAAGGGACCCTTTGGGAACATCGGAACTTCAAGACCAATTAGTGGAAATGATGCTTCTTGTGTTTGGGCATTAAATACTGGGCAGGGTTCTCTTTAGAGCAGCTAATGCTGGCAGGGAAAGAGGTACCGACCTAATTACTCTTCCGCAAGAGTAAAAAAATGCCTTTTGAATGCCTCTTTGGCAAATATGTCTCATTAAGGACAAAAACCAAACACAAACCCTCTAAGAAGGAGAAATTAAGATGATAGGTAACTTGTGGCCAGGAGACTTTCTGTGCCACTGTGGGAAATTAAAACAAAGTTTGGGAGTACCAGGGGATAACTTGTTTATTGTTGAGCTTCTTTCCTGCAGCCTAGATGTTATTATGGGACTAACTTTATTTTCTTCATCATTTTGGCTCTGTGTCAAGGAATGCTTTGCTCCTGGGGAAAGCAAAGAATCTTCCATCATTGAAGACAGTGGTGATTCTCCCATTCCATCTCAGCAGGGTGCATAACCCAGCAAACCAGGAAATTCTCCATTTGAAACTCTGGTCTAATAGGAATTTAGTTTTCATGGTGATCAAATGGGGAGATGAGAATAAACAGTAATATCCTTTCAAATGTGTTTTTTTGTTTGTTTAAAGGAAACTTTTATTTCTGCAATTTCTAATTTTTTAAAAAAAATTTAATTTTAGCCAAGTTGTCTTCCATCAGATTTTAGCAAAGATGGACAAATTTTATGATTAGTATATAAAGCTTATAAAAGCAGACTACTGGTCTACTTGCATTTGGTCTTATGAATTCTGGGTGTGTGTTTTTCCTTCTTAGTTTTATTGAAAGCATTGATCTTACCTATGCATTTTCTCTTACCTTGTCACCCTTGTGAATAAAGATATCTGTTTATAACATTCTCATCTGCAGTAGGGTCCCATGACTGCTCAACAAAATAAAGAGAATTGGCCATATTCATTTTGTGCACTGACCAGCTGAGATAATCAAGAGCAGATCAACAGCACTGGGTGTTGATTATGACAGTACTTTATAGGACAGGGCTCCAGGATTCATATTTCTAAATGTATCTGCCTCAGTGAGCTTATCCGTCACCCAAATATGATTATGTTCATTGCAGGTTAAGGTTATTATTAAGTGTAAAATTCTTCCTGACCTAGGATTATAACAAGTCGCATTCATTTGATAATTCATTCAACCAAAAAAAAAATTATATATATATATTGCAGCCTAAAAAAAAGCTAAACTCCCACGCAAAGAGCCTTATGTATTTGGTAACTTTCCTAATTTTTAATTTTAGAATGACAGTGTTATATTTGTCTTAAATTTTCTATGGCAAACTAGTCTGTGTTTTTGAAAGAAATCTGAGGCTCAACTATACATCGCCTCTAAGAAGAAGGAGAGGTCCTTTCATTTTCCAAGAAAATTAACTGTATGTGACAAGAGTGACCTGTGATTGAAGCATCACATTAGGTTATTTATTTGAATAATCAGGAGTAATGTAAGGATCCACAGGTCTGCTTTGGGGAGTCAGGGGGTTAGAGGCCCATTTATCAAGACCACACAATTGTTCACAGGTCTCAAAAATGACTCCAGAATGCAGATGGATGTTTTTGCCTACCAAGAACCTACAAGTCTGTAGTTCAGAGATTATTTTTCTCCCGTGTATGGGCTGCTTACTTAACAAGAAGTCGCTGTAACAGACTCATCTGAATGCCTCCAGGTCTTCTTATCACGATATATTGAGAAACACAGCACTCACAATATTGTTAAAAGCAGCCCTCCTAGAATCATTATTCCTATTTTAAGTGGGAAATATATAGAGAGAAGGTAATAGGAATGCTACCCCCACCTAGATCTACAAAGAAGTGCAGAAAGAACCCATAGATTAAAAGGTTTATAATACCTTTATAGTGAATATTCTTAAATTTGAAATATATTTTAGGTCTTCAAAGACTAGTGTAGTTCGTATGAAATAATCCAGTTAAAAGCAGCTTATTAGATTTCTCCATCTGGTGTCACTTATAAATTAACCGAGAAAATTAATATAAGTAAAATAATTTTCTCCTTGGTGGTGACTGAAAACAAATTTATTTATAAATTTATTTGTATCGTACCAACAGCTTCCATTTCTAAGAAGGATGATTATTACTGTAAGATTTCCTTTAGAAAATTAATAGTACTTGTTTTAAACTTACCCTGATAAAGATTTTCAGAAGTAGGGAAAGATCTTTTGTTCTTTCTCTACAGTTAAAATGAGTAATGCATTAACATTAGATAGAAGCTTCAGAATAAAACTCCTTGAGTGTTTTATATCAGTTTGGATTGTTACATATTTAACAATTCACTTGTAAGTGTCTTCAATTAACAGCAGTGCTATATGTGGCTACGTTTATATGAGGGAAATAAGTTGATCCAGTTGGGAGTGTTTTGTAATATTAAGGATAGTGTATAAAAATCAATTGTACTGTCGTAACTCATCACTAATGTTATTGGCTTTGATTAAACCATTCTATGGGAAGATCCAATTGTGTTAATTCAAACTGAAGTAATTGGCTCTTTTATGTTGCCTTCTTCTTATTACCAGTTTACAGATCCGAAGGCCAAAAACTTTCCTTCTTTCTGTGTTCAACTATTTTAACCATGTACAAAGGGGCACATGGAACAATTTTTGTCTACACCTCTTCTGAATGAATATTTTATAATTCAGAGGATCTGGTTAATACGTTGTAAGGTAGAGAAGTACATGGTTTGTGACTTTCTAGATAAAAAGAGACACATAACAACACATGGGAAATGAGAAATTTAAAATAGAATTCTAGAATAACTGTATGTTTCTGTTTGTCTGTCTTTTTAAATGGAAATTGTGAGGTTCTAGTTATAAGAACCACAATGTAGGTAGTAGCAGTAGAAATCTCCAGGAAGATTGCCATACTGAGGAGAGCTCAAATCTCTTCTCAGGACATTTTTTTTTTTTCAAACACAAAATTGCCCAGGAAAGCTGGTATTCTTTTTCATGTGGTGGGATAGGCAACACAGACTCACCCAGTGATTTATAGTATGCAAAGAGCTCTTTTCCTTGTGTTGTCCTCCAATAACCATATGAGAAAAAGAAATATTATTATCTCCATTTTACAGATGGCAAAGCTGGAGCACTGACGACGTTAAGTGGGAGTAACCCTTCGGATAAATGGTGGACCCCAGGTTTTCTAGCTCTTGCTGGGAACAGAGCCCGTTGGTATCACTGTCCATTGGTGGAGTTTAAATGACTTAGCATCATGCAAGAAAATAAATGTCCTGACCGAGTATTTTAGAATTCAGAAAGAGGCACTCTGTCCCAAGACCCTGATAATTTGTCTTCAAGTAGACTATTTGCTTCTAACTTTTAAAATGAAGTCAATGAATCATTTGTTATATAATGTGTGCTAAGCATTGACAGCAAAGAAAGGATGGTAAAGAAAACCAGCCTCAACTTAATTATAAAAAGAGTTAACTCCAGGGCTTTCAATGATGAAAATAATTATCTTCAGTGACAGTACTGAATGAAAAAGACTTTCATTTTCTTTTGGGCCATCCTTTACATTACCTGCCATGACGCCTCTTTACTCAAATCAATAGATGTTTACTGCATACTCTGAAGGAAACACCACATTCTGTTAGAGCCAGTTGTATTTATTTAGAGTGAATTGAAGTGGTAATGTATTTCATGTGGTATTCTCTCCCTCTTTTTTTTTTTAACCATCAGGTGAAATTGGGTGAGGATGCCCCCAATTCTGCTGTGGTACGTGTCTCCAACCCTGAAGGAGGTGATGATAGCAGAAAGGGTGCCCAGGAGAAGCCACCTGATGGAACCGAATGCCACCTTCTTGACTTTGCCAGCCCTGATCGCCCACTGGTGGTCAACTTTGGCTCAGCCACTTGACCTCCTTTCACTAGCCAGCTGCCAGCCTTCAGCAAGCTGGTGGAAGAGTTCTCTTCAGTGGCTGACTTCCTGCTGGTCTACATTGACGAGGCCCATCCTGCAGATGGTTGGGCGGTGCCTGGGGACTCTTCTTTTTCTTTTGAGGTGAAGAAGCACCAGAACCAGGAAGATCGATGTGCAGCAGCCCACCAGCTTCTGGAGCGTTTCTCCTTGCCGTCCCAGTGCCGAGTTGTGGCTGACCGCATGGACAATAATGCCAATGTAGCTTATGGGGTAGCCTTTGAACGTGTGTGCATTGTGCAGAGACAGAAAATCGCTTACCTGGGAGGAAAGGGCCCCTTCCACTATAACCTTCAAGAAGTCCGGCGTTGGCTGGAGAAGAATTTCAGCAAGAGATGAAATTTAGTTTAGCTGGTTAAAGGTATGATTATAGTAGAGCTTATTATTTTTTAAAAAAAATATGTAAAGGAAAGGAAATTAAGAACTGAATCCATATTTCAACTGAGTCCTGTTGCCTCACTAAAAGACAAGAATTTACCTGTCAGAAGAACATAAACCTCTAACGTCTCAATATTTCTTTCACCACTCAAGTGGCGTTGGGCTAAATAGTAGCCCTGTCACCTCTCTTCGTAGTGAAAAGATCCCAAGATGTGGAGGAAGAAACCCTGTGTCAGCATGTGTTCATTCTACCTTGAGAAAGAAGTGATGTAGCTGATGTGTGGTTTGGGACCAGAAGAGAAGACTTACCTGGATGATTACTATGTTAGGGAAGGTACTGTCTATGTTAAGATAAAGAGTATTGCCTTGGTTTTATTTATCACAGATAGAACCCAAATGGAAATTTCTTCAATACTTATAACAAATCCTTGAACCCAAGCCTTGTGGTTAGGACCTTGGTGTTTAATGTGTTAGTAGTTTCTGATGTTCTGGTTTCTAGCCATACAGTGCTCTATGCCAGTCTACACAGCCCAGAGTTCACAGGTATATTTGTAGATACCAAGAATGATCCCTCAACTTAGAGGGTTGGAATGATCATCTAAAATCTGAGGGTTACTTTCTAGCCAGGTGAGGAAAGTGCTGAAGGAAATCAACTTAGGAAAGAGGAGGCAGAAAGATTAGGAAACTTCATAGAGTTTCACCTTGAAGCTGTAGAGAGTGGAAGTAATTTGTTAGTCACAGAAACAGAAACATACACAAAGCCACAAAAAGAAGAAGCTTAACTAAAAGTAGCATACAGAATACGCATAGGAAAACAATGTATTTATCATATACTCCTAGATGGAGGGAGAAAGGAGGATTGAAAGGACAAAAACCACACAGTTAAATATTTATATTTATGAGGGTTTTGTTGTGGAAATAATTACTTTTTGAAATGTGTAGTTGGTGTGAATATTTTCAGTGGGTAAATTATACCCCATGATACCTCTTAAGGGAAAAACCAATGGGTCCAGTGGTGCTGGCCACTGGTTTGTTTCTTTCCATTCCTACAATTATCGTGTGGCCCCACCCATTGTTAATCTCAGTATCTATAGTAGTGTTCTCTCTGAATAATGATCTTAAGAATATATACATATATATACATGTGTGTGTGTGTGTATATATGTATATATTCTCAGCTGCTGTGGGAGGCAGGTACCCTGGCCATTCACCTACAATCCTGTTTTCCTCCCAAAGTAGATGACCTATAGTGAATGTTGGTGCAAACAAACAAGTTTTCTTCAGTTGCAAAATAGGAGAGTTAGTTTGACATAATTCCCATCAATGATTTTGGAGGTTTTGATATAAAGTATCATGGAATTTGGTAAAGTAGAGTTTCCATTGACACTTGAATTTCAACTTGGATCTTCCTTTGGTCCTGTTAGCTTAGGTTTAGTAGTCGAAGTTTCCTATAGTACATTATTATAATGCTTTTTTAATATATATACCATGTTTCTCTTTAATATAAAGACACTGTAGTTTTACCCATAAGTAATAGCTAAAGATCATAACTCCTCAAAGCATGGACCAACCAATTTTATATAATAATTTTTTTTTTTGGTAAATTTGAGGATACTACCAAATTATACTATATGGTTGTATTTAAAGGTACAATCAAAGGTTTTTATGTTCATTTCATTAATAACTGAATCTTAAAATAAAACTAATAGAAATAGATAATCTAAAGTTGAAAATACCTTCTTAAGCTAGTTGCCTGAAATGAGAAAAAAAGTGGGAACTGGGTGTGCAAGAACCAAAAGTATTTTTTAAAAAAACTGGAGCAACATATCAATCATGTCACTAGCTGGTAAATTGTTAAATATTAAAGCTCCATTGTGACTGGTTTTTTTATGGCAATATTTAAGCTTTCCAATGTTTTAAATTCTATGAAAAACACCCACAAAGAAACAGTGCATTTTGAGAATGTGATGTTATTTAATGATTTGCTGGAAAATCATATTGGGAATAGATTATTTCAGATTTTTCAATTGTTAGACTCTACAGTCAAGGCTTATCAGTGGCCCCCATTGATTTTTATCTTTAAAATGGTGTTGAGATTTACGTGAACCCTAGAGCAGTAAAGTGAAAAATTGGTTGCAGCACACTCAGACTGTCATCCTTAAACTTCCCCTTTGTCCTACATGTACGATAAAGTAACAGGATGTCAGAGAAGCTGGTAGGGGGATGAGATTCGGCTAAGACAGTGCTAGTCATCTGGGAAAAAGGATAATGGAAAAAATCACCCAGTTGTGCTATACTTTTAAAGAAAGAGAAGGTTGTGTGTGTGTGCAGACAATTGTTCTCGCCGCGGATAGTTCAGTGGAGAAATGAAGCAGAGGAAGTAAAAATATAAAGACATAGGCTGATTATCAGGGAGAAAGTTATGTTCCTTAGAACATGGAAGAGTCACTGGAAGAAAGACTATTGAAGGGCCATTGGAGAGCATGAATTGACAAAGCTCAGGAATCCTACAATATGTAGAATGGCTTGATGTTATCAGGTTTATGATAAACCTGTAATTATGTACCCTATTTATCTCAGCATAAACTTTTATGATTTCTTGTGATGTATTTTTTTAATAAAATTATTAAGAGCTCATTATTTGAGAGACTTTGAGAAAAAACAATGCTTAGCTGATATGCTCAGATAAATTATTAGACTGTAAATTCCCACCCACCTGTCATATGTTTTATAAAGTATATTCCTTTGAAGAATTGTAGTTCTTATTTTCACAAGAGAAAAAATTATGTGTGTATACACACACACACACACACACACATACATGAGGGTACTTCAATTAGTTCATGGAAAGATTCATATTGTCTTTTAATTGTATCTTTTCACAAACTTTTTGAAGTACCCTCATGTAGTAAAACTCTTGAGTCCTTTTTTTTTTTTTTTTTTTTTTTTTTT